TCTATGTTCATTGCTGCTCTAGTCACAATAACTAGGAAATGGAAACAAACTGAATATTCTTCAACTGAAGAATGGACAATAAAAACCTGGTGTATCTACACTCTGGAACACTATTGAACTGTAAAGAAAAATGAAATTTAGAAGTAAATGGATGGAACTGGAATGGATCATATTGAGTAAGGTAACCCAGACCAGAAAGATACACATTTCAATCTATCTCTCATCTGTAGTTCCTAAATCTTCAGATATGAGTATAATCTAGAGTAACTTCAGAACCAAGAAAAGCAAAAGGGAGCCATGGGAGTGGAGGTGTGTCCAAATAGAGGGGAATAGCAAAATACAAATGATTTAAAGGGGAAAATGGGAAGGGGGCACTTTAATTAGGAAGAGGAGAGATAAATACAGAAAAAAGGAGACTAGAAAGTAAAATAAGAGGAAAGACATCTGAAAAAGTTATAAGGAACCATATAATTTTCTGTATAGCTAAACTTATACATAATTCTGTTTTCATAGTTGAAAACAGGAAGCCCACTTCAATAAGAAATCAAGAAATATAGAGTTTCATTATGAATGGTACTCACCTTGGAGTCCAGAAAACCAGATGGTTAATATGTCAATAAGTAAAATCACAAATTTAAAGAAATGATTATTTGAAATAAATAAAAATTATTCAATTTGTACTAGAACTACCCTTTAAACAATCAAACTATTACAGTTGGCTAAGACTTCTCTAATTTTTCTGTATAGAATTCATCCTTCAGGAAAATTTATTTCCAGAGATTCTTAATGAAATGCCGTATGGGTGATTTCTTGTTTGTTTCCCCGAGTCTAATGAAATCTTATAGAAGTGCAGAATGTTAGCATTTAGGCATCCCTGCCTAATGGCATGTGTGTCCTTAGGGTCCGGATAGGATAGTTCCTCAGCTGCAGCCACTAATAGTAACTCCTGTGTGCATTTTTTTTAAAGGCTTGTCTTGTTCTCTTCTGTTTCTTTCTTTTTCTTCCTTCACTCTCCTTTGCACGTACCGGTCTCTGACCTCCTCTCTTCTGCTTCTCTCCCCTCCCCTCAATAAATCTCCCACGTGGGTCTTGTATGGTGTGACACCTTCCTGCTGTTTTTTAAAATACAACAGTATGAACATTCAAAATAGGTTCATGATTGAACAAAGGGGGTAGTGTGACTTAGCAAAGCCTCTTTGTTCTAGCTCCTCTTCACATGTCTGTCCCTTCATCCTTTGCCATGGGGAGAAGCAAAGTCTGGTCTTTAGAGAAAGAACCAAGAATCTCCTACGTCCTCCTCCAGAGGACAAGGTGGGAGAAGTTCAGAGACGTCTTTACTCATGCTGTGGTCTGAGGTATTGAGGCACCACACAATGAGGAGCTGTGTCCTAAACCCCATCACTGAACTTTCTGTACCTACAGAGAGCAGTATTTTTCAGAACAGTACTTTTTGCTTATATTTACTGTTGTGGAATGTAAATGATTTGTGGATATTTTGATGATGAAAGTATCCACTTTTATTTTGAATTGTGGAAATGTCATGCCGTTGCTGAAAGTGTCAGGGCCATACATACTATTATATATGAAAAGAGATGATAAGGGATAGCCTGCCCATCTGTGGACTCTGGATTGACAGACTTGCTCTTTGCTTAACTCTGTAAGGAACACAATTGTTTCTTTGCTGGTGAATTATCTTATATTCCTTGTGTAAACATATACACTTGCACATCTATATATTTAAGTGGAATAAAATATTCTGATTTTAAAAAATTTCCTATTTAATTGTTTGTGTTTGTGGGGACATGTGAGTCACTGTGCACATGTGGACATCAGAACACAACCTTTAGAATGAGCTCTTTCTTTATCCCATGTTGGTTTAGGGGATCAAACTCAAGTTGTCAGGCTTCGGGCCAAGTGCCTTTATTTTGGAATGCTCTCACCCACCCAATACACAAATGATTAATTTTGTAAATAGAATTGTATCAAGCATAATCTTCTCCTCTGGACATGGTGCTCTTCATAGCAAACTTATGATGAGCATATGTGCAGCCAGCTAGGTATTTTCTCCAGTCTGAGACTTTTAATGGGTTAAAATTTAAATATTTTCCATTGGCCATAATAGAAAATCTTTAATATTTGAATTTTTTTCTTGCTCAGAAGAAAAAGCATAGTATTATACATTGAAGCAAAAAAAATGACAATTTTCAGTCACATATGTGTGCTTGCTTTTACAACAAATTGACCACTTTAGAAAATATGTCTTTCAAATAATGGTTTTGGCTATGAGTCTCATACATTATTCCTCATTTGAAAGGTTCATAGTAATTAGAGGGCCATTACTGTCCCCAAGATGTAAGTTGGGGCCTTTTATTCTTTTATATGATTCTTTTATTACTAAACTGGTGTGACAAATGTGGCTGGAAGGAAAATTTGTGCCATTACAAATGTGAAATGTGTCAGCCCAGCAGTGTCAGGAAAAAAAAAAGTGTCACAGGGAGTGTTTGCCTCTGATGATGGCTGAAAACAGAGCATTGTAATAAACAGAGTAATAGAATGTCTGCCATATTTGCCATATTTAAAGAAGGACATTTTTCTGTAATTTATGTTTTATGAAAAGACATGCATTAGTGAACAGTCAGTAGGTTACAACTCAAAGCACGGTAGTTGTGAAACATCAGATTATTTTTCCTATTCTCAACATTGTGAACTAACCAGTATTTGAAACATAGTATAGAATAAGGAGAGGTTTAAACATTAATCACCTCTCAATTTTAAACAATTTTAAACAATTAAAAGCAACTAAATGTATAATAAGACCATGCAAGGAATATGCAACTGCATAATTCTTCAGTTGGAGATGCTTCAATGGTTTGTCACGTATGACTTACATTATTTACTGTGATCATCAGGAGACCAGCACATACTATTGGGCTAGAAGGACAGTATGAAGTAAGATTCTTTATATGCTCCTGATATATATTTCATCATTGTAATCATTGGTAATTCAAACTACAGCTGCAACATTTGGTTTGGAAATATAATGTAAGTGTGCCCCCATGTGGCTGCAGAATCGCCTGTAAAGAATGTCTTCAGAAAAGGCATCAGTAGAAAGGGCTTTTTTAGTGAATAATTCACTGTAGAATTCATCTAAGTGACAGGGCTCATAACTTCTGTCATAATTTTTACAAATATTACAAATATTTTATATCTCTCACTCACACATTTTCGCCCATGTCTCTCCAATTCTGAAGTGATAAAGCTACACACACAAAAAAAGTTTTATTTTTCTTGTGTTTATATTGCTAGCTGAAGTCAAGTTGGAGTAATTCTCAGCCACTGTTTCAAGATACATTTTGTGCTTAAATGGAGTGATGGACCAGGAAAGAACATTTGTACTAGAGCAGGTTCAGGGTCTAACAATTGTGGTTGCCCATTTATGAGATGTATGAAGACTGTAATTTGTTTATACACTTTGCTCATCAATAGGGTAGCTGACATTTAGAATAAATATTTTCGATTCTACAGAATTTGGAATTCCCTTTCCAGGAAGCATCTTGTCTCATAGTCACCATCTCTCACAATATTTTGATATGAAGGTATCATTGCCCATTTATCAATCCCCTTATTACTCTAGTCTGAGTACTTGTGTGCAAAGTCTCATCTGCTGACCAGTTCATGCTCTGGAGAAGCGCCACAGTGACTGACAGTGCTCTCTGAGATAAGTCCATATCAGATTTCTCATAGTTCAGTGTGTCTGCATCAGGCAAACATAGGCACAAATAACTAATGCAAGAAAGATGGGGAGCATTCCCATGCTAGGAGGAAAGACTCAGATAATAGAGGAAGGAGGCATTATTACAATCATGTGTATACGTGTCTGTGTGTCATTCATTTCAGCTTGACTGTCCCTTATGTGTTTGAGTACGTGACAGTAGAGCAAAGTCTAAGGATGCTTCTTTGAGATGTTTTAAGATTACTGACTGTCCAATCAGGACACTGAATGTACATTCAAGCAGTGTTATAACTTCAGCCAATTTAGCGTCACTGTTCTTTATGGGAATTTATCAGGCATTAGTCATTCTTCCCATAGTTTTATGTCATCACTTTTGTTAACCTCAAATGGTGGTATCTATAAAAATAGATTTGATTTTAAAGATTACAATAATAAAAACCTGAACATTTGTTTTTCTCCCTACTAAAAATTCTGCCCTTTAATTAAAGTTTATATCTAGTACAATTTTTATATTGTGTAAGATTTTTTATGTTCAATCATGAAATTGCAAGGAAAAAACAGTAATCAATCAGTAATTACTTTGTCTGCCTCTCTCTTTTCTAGAGCTCAAGCTTGCTGGGAATGATGATGCATGCTTGTAATAACACCAACAGCAGAGATGGAGCCAGAGGAGCAGGCAAGAGAGGGCTGTATGGTGAATTCAAGACTATCCTGGGATACATGAATTCAAAAAACAATTATGTATTTTATAAAGACAAATTCAACCATTTTGATTCTTCATCAGAAAGTGAAAACTGAAGTTAAGTCAAAGTGAGACCAAAATAGTAATAACCTTAATATTTCAAATAATACATTTTCTCCATATACTAATAGAAAAATGGATTAGAGTAGGAGAAAAAAGCAGCAGATGTAGTTAAAGCATTTGCTTTCTAAATTCAGAACCTAATGGCATTGCCATAAAATGCCATCTCCATCAAAATGTTGGCTGGTAGTCATGTAGTTACTGATCCTCATCCAGAAAACTCTATCAGATATCAGAACTAAATGATTCTTCATGCTCTTTTTTCCTTGAAATCTTATACTCTGCAATAATTTATAGCCTCCAAAGAATTTAACATTAAAACTGATTATATTTTAAGTAATTTTTTTACCTCTTTTGTGGTTTTTAATGGGGAGAGATAAGGCACAGACAACCCAGTAAAAATTGTTTCCTGACTTTGGATGGTTCTTTGTGTTTAGACTGGAAATTTGTGCTGTGGCAGTGAAATAGCACTTTTGAGAGTCAGAAATGTCAAGGGCTACCTGAGCTGCAGATTGGCCAGTGTTTTTTTTTCTTTGCATCACTCTTTTCTTGTAAAAGAAATCCAATTTAATCTCTTATGAATCATAAATTTCACTGTTCTAAAAGTCTGTTTTATAGATCCATTTTCACAAATACAGAAGGATGAATGACATCAAAAAGTGATTTAAGATGAAAGCACTGACAACTTTATATTTGTGTAAGTAAGACACTTCAATTTGTAAGGCACCAATAATATAGAGTTAGAACAGACCACTCAGTTCCAATAGAGAATTTCAATAGCTGTCATTTAAAATTCTCCTGTTTGCTACTATTTTCAAATCTACAAAATAGAAAACATTCTATTAAATAAATCTTTTTCTCTTAAAGTCTAGAATTGTCACCACAAAGCTCAGGTTATCACTTTTAATAATACCCCATGCCACTTAGAAATATTGTACATATTTATTTTACATTTACAATTTTCCATCAACAAAAGCATGAACCATGTATGCCTTGTGGCAGCCTAAATGAAGGGTAGATGGCCAAGTTTTATGCACTGTATCAGTTTTGTACAGTTCCTGTAGTGCAGACATGGCATTGAATGCTTTTCAAAATGTAGCTAGGGAAGATGTTCTAGCACATTCTGTAATTTATTCTATTATTAAAAATTGGCCACTTGTAGCCCATCTCCAAGAAAGTTTAGTTACATGAATGCATATTGTGATAGTTACCAAGATACATCACATTCTAGATAGAGAACACAAGAAATTTTACCTTCCATGCCCCAAGGAAATAAAACCTTAGCCAGATACAGGTGATAATACAGTAACATTTTTTTTGTGTGAAACTTTTGTTTTATAATGCTAGTTACATTTCTAAATAAGTTAGTATCTACTGGAGCTAGTCACACAGCACCTTTGATGTCTTGAACAGACTACAACCACCACAAATGGAAGAAAAGAGGTTGCTCAGAAGAGCCCACAGTCTTTGAGATTCTCTTTTATTATTATGTCTGTCACTGCATCAAACACGAATTTGACGTTTTGTGTATCAGTAGCACAGGTCATGTGAGAGTAGATTTCCTTATCTTCTTTTTTTAAATTCAGATCTAGAAACTGGTTTTTGATGTAGTTTCCTGCATCTTCAAATGTATTTGGTCCTTAATGTACAAAGAAATGAAAGGCATAAACATTAATCACATCATAGAAATCATAGAGCTATAAATAGCATCAGCGAGTTTTAGGATTAAGTAACTGTGCATTGCATGATGCTGTCTGAGGTATGGAATCTTAATGTACATCACCTCTGGACCACAAAGTCAAGGTGTCAGAGGTCAGATTTTAGGGATGTCAGCTCTGCTGGGATTTCTGAGAGTTATATGTTGATTCATTTAGATGCATATATAAAAAAAATTAAAGAAGACAAGGTTGTGAATCTGTGAGGCAGGAAAATGGCCATCAGATATGGGAGGAGCAAGAGAGAGGGGGGAGAAATGATGTTTATAATTGAAGTTTTAGAAAATTATAATTGAAGTTTTAAAAATTTTAAAAGCTGATGTAACAAGGTGAGTGATACAAATAACACACACACACACACACACACACACACACACACACTCTTTCTCTCTCTCACATACTGTGTTCCTGTGGTTATGCATATGCTTTAATACAAGCTAAAAGAGAAAATAAGTGAGACTATGGCAAATTAGGTTGCAGAAACAGGTAGTATTGAGCGAGGCCTTAAGAGAGAGTTGAGAAGAGAGAGGAGAAAAATGATGAAGGAAAACCAAAAAGTACAACTAACTGATCATGGTCTGAAACATCCCTTCTGCCAGTCCTTCTAGATGGAGTTGGGAAATAGATTGAACTTTGGAAGATCTGGTCAGATGCAAATGAATGAGATTTTGTAGAGGCAGTGTACAAATCAAATAGAAAAAGTGGTAAAGAAGCTCATTGTCTTGGCTGCAGGGCAAACAGAGGAGCTGAGCTGAGCTGTGGAAGACCGTAGAGAGTGCCTCTTGGCTCCTCCATCCATGAGAAACTTTGGTAGAATAACACCCAGGTCAGATGGAGAAGGGGAGATATTAATTAGTTAAGCTGACAACCATATCAACTGATTGGCTCCACACCAGAATATACATGCTGAGGCCATGACCAAAGGCACCCTAAAGACTTTCTAATGGGACAAAATGTTTGCTTTTGTACTTTATTGTTGTGAGAAGCAAAATTCTAGGTGAAAATAAAGTCTTCAAACAATATAACACAATTATGCTTGGAAGGTGGCTTGGGGCAAAATTCTTGCCTAGCATGCATAGGCCAGGAGTTCAACACCCAGTTCTAGTGAATAAATGAACAAATAAATAAACAAAAAATACAATAACATAAAATAAATAAAATGAAAGTTAAAAACTTGGAAAGTAAATATTGACAGGAATACAAAATCACAGAAATTGTAATCATTGCCAGTGGGGATGCAAAATGTTTCAGTTACTGGGGAAGGCTGGACACTGTAATCCCACTAGTTTGAGATTCTGGAAAATATAAAACTATAATAATATTTGAAACATCTGTACTTACTGGAGTTTGGAAAGAGGGTTGAGGGTATATATAGGCAAAACCTAGGTGACTGTAGGACAACAGAACTATTTCATATGATATTATACTAATTCTCTAGTTTCTATCTGAATGTTCCCCAAAGGCCCATTTGTTACAGGTTTGATCCCTAACATGGTACCATTGGAGGAAGTAAAAATTCTTAGGAGGCGGGGCCTCATGGGAGGTCTTTTTGGCTACTGAGGATGTGCCTTCAAAGGGGATTGTGGGGTGCCTATCTCTTTCTCTCTTGCTTCCTCTTGACAGGGAGCTAACAGCCCTATTATGCCACACTCCCTTGCCACAGACTTAAAAATAAGTAACAGGGCCAGCTGACCATAGATTGGTACTTCATAAACTATGAGATTTAAAAAACTGCTTTTTACTTTGTGAGCTGATTTATCTCGGGTATTTGTTATCTTAACAGAAAACTAATTAACATGACACACATTTAGCAAAACACATAGAACTATCAGACACAGAGAGCAAACCCTAATTACACTGTGGATTTCAGTTAATTATGTGTCAACATCATTCTGTCAATCACAAGTGTACTACATCAATGTAAGATGTAACTAACAGGATGCCAAGGCAGAGGAAACTGAGGAAGTACATAAAATTTCTGCTCTCTCAAAGTATTTATTTCTCTGTGAATAAAATCTGACCTAAGAAACTATTAATTATATATCCTTTAGCTATGTCTATATTGAATCTATACCATTAAATATACATTTATGATTAAATTTATTATGTGATAGATGTGCAGACATTATAAATGATGTTTGTGATTCTAGAATGACACACACTAAGTAAAAATTAACTAGCATAGTTATCTGCTTTGACAGACTGCCTTGTTAATTTATGTTTAAATTATGATCTTTTCCATCTTAGATAATTTTATCAACAAGAGTACATCTAAGTACTTAAAAATTAGGTCTCTAAAGATAAATCAACTCTTTGGTGTGGCACGACCTTAGCAGTTACCGACTGATGGGATCAGCCATCAAAAGTAGGAACCTCAAGAGACCAGAGAAAGAGACGTACCACTCTTCTCAAATTCATTCCTGCTGCTCATTGGCCACACTGTAGACACTGAAGAGCCACCAAGTTCCAATGTGACATTGCAAGCTCTGGTTAGGGTGGCGCTAGAGTGATGTTGTTATACTGAAGGTAATGCAGCTTGCAGCATCCTTGGATGTGCATGCAGAGTAGCTCCTCTCTCCTATCAACAGTTTCCAGTTTGTTCCATTGGGGTTTGCTCTAATTTACACAATAAAGCAAAGCTCCCCTCTGTTTCCAGTGGGAATCACAGGTGTTAAGATCCAAATAGGAAGGCTGGGGAGATGGCATCATTGGTAAATGCCACACAAGCACGAGGGCCTGAGTTTGGATTCCCAAAACCCATGCTTAATTCAGTGTGTAGCACTGTGTTTCTGCAACCCCAAGCTTGGAGTGAGGAAGAGGGTAGGGACAAGTGGATTCATGAAGGCTATTGGTCAGCCAGTTTATTTGCATAGATGAATTACAAGTTCTGTGAGTGACCATGACTCAAAAAAATAAGGGGTGGGGGACTGGGGATATTGCTCAGAGGTTAAAAGCACTTGCTACTCTCATAAAGGACCTGGATTTGGTTCACAGAACTCGCATGGTGACTCACTATTCTTTGTAATTTCTAGTTTCAAGGTATCCAGAGCCCTGTCCCAGCCTCCATTATGTAGACACAGGAGGTACACATAAACTCACACATATACATGGTGAGAATTAATCATTTAAAGGTGAAGAGTGATTGAAGACATTAGATATCAGTCTTGAGATTACACAGGCATGCACCCAGTTTTCATGTACACCAAACACACACACACATACACACACACACACACATACACACACATACACACACACATACACACACATATACACACAGACACACACACACACATACACACACATAGACACACACACAGACATACACACACACACCGTGGGGAGGGTGTGACACACAGGAACATTGGTCTTACACCAGCTTGTTATCTAGAATGGAGGGAAACAAGGTTACCAGTGTACTCTGGGAAGCAGATGCTGAGGTGCACCCTGGTTACTTTTTCCTGGAAGAGATCTTTCTTGTTGAGAAACAGAACAATGGAGGTGGTCGCGAAATACTTGTGATTACAGATGCTGTTGAACAGGTGTAGACTTTCATGCATTCTGTTCTGTGATGTAAAGAAAGATAATGTATGATGTCATTACCTCAGAGTTTGGGCCTGGACATCACAAGGGCCTAGATGACACCCACGTTTGTAAGGATTGTGAGGACCTTGGGCTGGGGACTACTGCAGCACTACCACTGGACAGCACCGATTGGGGTGCCTTGGGTGCTCTCCTCCTCCTCCTCCACTGTGGCCTCGGACTTACCACCTCTTCATCTTCTACAAGCACCATGTCATAGGCACTTAGTGCAGCACAAAATATAATGCACGTCACTCCTTCAAAGCAGTGGATCCATTTCTTTCTCTCTGATCTCTGTCCACCTACATCAAACATTCTTTAAAAAAAAATAAAATGAATAATTAATGTCCAAATTTTGTTGAATTGTTGACATTGACTGAATATTTCAACATATTTAAAATGCGTTCTTTGATTTCTGTTGCATAATTTAGGCTGATAAAGGACTACAGAAAAAAGGGAAATTTCATGAGTGTAATCATTCTCACACTAACTTGAGCATCTGGAAATTTTAAAGCAGTTTTAAATGAGTCTTAGAACATTTTGAAAAAAGCTTATACATATTTTTAAGAACAAGTAGACTAGAGAATTGGGTGTGTCATTCTGATACTAAGATTCTTTCTGGTGTCTTCTTACATTTCTTTTTTATTCTAACCGTTAGCTTGTATTCTGTGCTAACACTGATTTAAATCAGCTTATATGAAGATGAAAAGGTATGATCACTATTTTCAAAGTTCTTGCTGGTTGGCACAGAGATATACATGCAAATGATCATAATATTATGTAATTAAATATTCAAATATTCAAAAAGTATGTCAGTACAGGGTGGGGTTTAAGTCATTCTGAAGGATCATGGAAATCACTCACAGGAGGTGTTTGAACATGTGGACTCAGTTCTACTTTATTAAATTACCAGAAATTGTCATGAACAGAGAAAACGGGTGAGTAGCTAGCACTCACTCTTTCCTGTTTCTCAGTTACTGCCGTCTAAAATGCAATCTCTTTTGCACCTCCTTCTTTACAGCTCTGCTCTCATCAAGTCACCAACACTTCTCTCAGGACTAGTGTGGAAGAACCCCAGCTCATTGCCCTCCAGCTGCCCCTCCAGCCTCCAGACTCTCCCAGCACTCACACCTTCGTTTAAACGTCCTGACTGTTGAATGAACATGACAAATTCACCTTCTTGCTTGCAACTTTTTCATGGATTCTATGTCCCTTAGAACAAGAAACAAACTTGTGATGCCTCACAAGCTGTTGTGACTGTTCTCATCCTCATTGACCTTGCAAGGCTGTTTTGTGTCATGTTCCTCTCAACACAGTAAAACCATGGTGCTCCCTTGGTTTAAATAATACAGATATGTTTTTCTGATGGCTCAGGACTCTTTCACAGGCTCTCCCCTTTTCCTGGGACATTCAGTTTTCTTTCCCTTTCAATTAGTTAATTATTCTTGACACAGAGTCTCCTGTAGTCCAGTGTAGCCACGCACTCACTGCGTAGTTGAGACTGTCCTTCCTTCCTGCCGGCCTTCACTCTCCAGGTTGTGGGATCACAGGCATATGACACCATACTGGGCTCCCCTATTTTATTACTACTTCTCTCTCAAATTTCATGTTTTGCTACCAATCTCTTCCACAGAGGAGGCTTTCTGAGAATTTCCTTAAGTTCTCTCTCTTCATTTCCACTTACATTGTGTGGCATCAGTGTTACTTTATGGGATTCATGCCAAATAATAAAAAATATGATTTGTTTGTTTAACATCTACTGTTTAAGAGAACAGCAGCCGTAAGGCAGGGGCTCTATGTAAGCAACTGTTTCCTTTACATTCCCCAGCACCTTGCCTGGCATGGGTACACATACAATAAATTTTGCGAAATAATTGAACAGAGACCACGTTGACAAAATAAGTGGACAAGGTCATGAAAAGCACATTTACATTTTACAAGTATCTAGGTGTGAGATAGTGGAGCATATCTGCAGAAAGTGACTTAAGCTTTTAGAATCAAGAAGAAAAAGTTGAGCTACATGACTCAATAACTACCGTTTCCTCACTTATTCGTTTTCCATTTAGCCAAAGTTTTCTTTTCTTTTTTTCTTTTTTCCTTTCAGAGCTGAGGACAGAACCTAGGGCCTTGCACTTGCTAGGCAAGTGCTCTACCGCTGAGCTAAATCTCCAACCCCTTAGGCAAAGTTTATTGAATGTTTCTAATACCAGACACCAAAGACTTAGCCTCCAGAACTTCCAATCTGTTATTGGTGGAGTATAGCAAGTAGGGAAGGGTTGCACCTGGAAATGCAGCAATCAGTAATTACAAAAATGTCTAAAGATCTTTGAAAATGAGGAGCTAAGTTTTACAGGTGTCTGGGGAAACATTTCTGGGTAAAAGCAACAGAGGAAACAGCAAGGACAATGAACTGAAGGACTCCCAATAAGCTGCTTGTGCTGGCTAGTAGGAAGAGCATGGGAAACTTAGGTTTTATATTGTGGTCCCTGGCAGCAGGGGTGGAGGTTCAAGATCTTAAGGAATTTGTATGGAAGATTGGCATTGTTTGTTTGTTTATTACAGTACTAAGGCTGCTTTAAACTGAGGGCAGAAGACATATTCGATAAGGTAGAAACTAAGTTATAAGTTACAGGGATATCATCATATTTGAGACAGAGATGATAATTATTGAAACCATCCAGACTGTACAGGCTTTTAGGGTGATGATACTTAGCCTAATAAATATAATTCAAATGTTTTCATAAAAATAATCGAAGTACAATGTTTTGGGTGTGGTAATGAAATCAAGTCTGTAATTCCAGTACTCTGGAGGCAGAAGAACAAGAATCAGAACAAATTCAAGACCACACAGTCCACATAGTAAGAGGTTGGCTAAAAGAAAAACAAAAATTACTTTTTACTTCATATTTCCCACATAAACCCCGTAGATAAATGAAGCTGAGTATGCCCACTGATAAGAGGGGAAACTCCAAAAAGTCTAAGATTTAACTCCAGACTGGGAAATACAAGTTACAAGATAAGAACACTAATAACATAGCTATCATCTTTGGAGCAAAGAAAAGGAATTCCCCATAAGTCCCAAACCAAACTCCAACTATGCTACACTCTTGGGCATGTGAAAGAATCATTGACTCTAAGCCCTGGAAGGAGGAACCTTTAAGAAATGTACAGCTGGTTTTTATTTATTTATTTATTTATTTTTTTTATTTTTCAGATGTGTTCAATTAACTTATTCAAGGTTGTTAATCATTGAATGTTTGCTGAGGCCATGTGTTTTAGGCACTATGCTAGGCAATATAAGAACTAATTTGTATGGCATTTTCCCCTTATATATAAACCGATTTACTATACCAGCTGTTCCTAACTAGTCCTAGCACCTAGAGTTAGCTACCAAGTAGTCTCTGATGGGGGAGGGAGTGCTGGGATACTATCTAGTTTGCTCTCTTCAGATCACACAGCCATTTTTTCAGCAGATAGACAGATCAAAGGGCAAAAATAAAGTTTCCTCTGAGATATTTCCCCAAATTTCAACAGAAATAGTTTAGACCTTATGGATTCCAGGTGTTTAAGTTATTCTCCACTTGCTTATTTGTTTGCCTATTCTGGATCCTTGGATGATGTCAAAGGGATGTGATTCTGTGGCTGAGCAAGGTGCATTAAATGTGGGTTTTCCACTGGCTCTAGAAAGCACATCACTAAGCTGGTGTTCACGGTAGCCTTTTCCAATGCAACTGTCACTTGAGTCACATTCATAGATTGAAAGAGATAAGTACAGCTTTAGTTCTAGCTTCTTCTTGGATTCTAATCCTCTCTCCAATGACTGCTTAATGGAAAACTAACTAAGTGACCACAGGCCCAGAAAAATGGAATCTCATGAATGGGTGACTTAGTTTTCAAGAAGAATACATTGGTTCCTTTTCACATGAGGAATGGCATGGAACTCAAGGACATGATGTTAAATTCTGTCCACTAGCAGGACTTGGATTTGCTGGAGCACTTGATTTTGTCTCTTTTAATCAGCTTTTGTGATCTGCAGTCAATTGCCATTTATTCTGAATTGCACTTACTTTTTTAACTCCCATCACATTTTAAATCAAATTATCTTCTAATCTTCAAATTCCGAGAAAGACTTTCTCATCAACTTCAGTTTTTTTTTTTTTTTTTTTTT